AAGCCCCTGCTTCACCCACTCCGTCCTCTCCTTTGCTTTGCTAAAACATCTAGATCCTCAGCATGCAAATGCTCGGTTAGTTGGCTACTCTTGTTCACCAGTCCATCTCTGTTTTTTACCAGTTAAGTCATATATTTACCAAGAAGACATTTGTGTTTGTTCCAAAGTCTGTTTATGGTAGTTGCACTCACTGTATTTACATAATTTAATTATGTATTACATAAATTTATGACATATCAATGCATAAGGAAAGAGCTGTCGTTTCTACTATAAGCTGAGTATTTGGGAACACTTGCTTGATAAAGGTAAGTAGATTAAAAAAACTTCTGTCAAATTAGAAATGAATAAGGACTGTAAAAGGCTAGGGGTGTGTGTCAGGGTGACGTGTACAGGTCTAAAAGAATTTATGCCACGTACTCTGCCACTGTTTAAGAAATCAAATCTGGAAGTTATAAAGGGCGCAACATGGTTACCGCTCCTACAAATAAAATGATGTAGAAGGTCAATATATGAATCCATCGTAATGACAACAAGAGTATTTTGAAACAATACCTATCCTTCCGTCATGTACCGCACTCTGAAATTCTCTTTTCCTTTTTTCCGATTTTATTTCTTTTTTCCTTTTTAAATTTTTTCCTTTTTCTTTCTTTAGTTTGTGGAACGTCTTACAACTAATGCCATCTTGAGTTTAGTGAATAATAGTAGATATAATGATAGTATCATTATACTTTCAGCACATGCTTTTTACGTTGACCGGTTCATTCACTTACTTTTGAAATTCTTTAAGCATTTCAATCCCATTAAAAAAATGTTGGTCATGACCCACTAAAGTGATTTTGTGACTCACAGTTTGAAAAGACACTGCCTTGATGCCACTCCTTATTGTATTGATGGGAGAGCTGAGGTTCAGGGAGATTTAAGGTCACATAGCTAGTGAGTCAGAACTATGGTCCCGGGTCCTGTATCCTCTGGCCTCTGTTCTGCCCTGAGCAACCTTCCTTCTGACCCAGCACAGTTTCCTTTGCAAAGACTGCACATTCCTCTAAGCACAGAAACAAGTCCCGGCACACACAGATACATGTGCTTTTATCCTAAAACCGTGACACACCAAGTCTCTTGTGCTAAAGACACATTTGGAACAGTGAACCAGGTACCTGGGCAGAACACGTGAGCCTTCTAAATTTAGAACGACTGCAGCTCCACATGGGAAAACTCCAGACAATGGAATGGGGAAGCAGTTCACGTTCTGAGAAGCTTTTGTTTGGCAAGATGAGCAATAAACAGATCCCTGGCTTGCCGGCTGACCCACGTTCTACCTGTTTTCCAAACAAGTAACGCCTTCCAAGACTTTTTCCTATAATCATCTTTGCCCTCCCTCTGTGCACTTCTGGCCCAAACTCACCCTCTCAGCAAAGTGAAGCCCAAAGTCCCCACCAAAATCTGACCACCATCTCTTCAAGCAAGCTACTAATGGTGAGTTTCCCCCTGAATAACACCACTGTGAATTTTTCATGTTCTTTTATCACCACCTCTGACACTAAATTAACCAAGCCTTCAAACACTCAGGGTGTCATTAAACACAGGCTAGAGGAAGGAGCAGTGCTTCAGAGGTGCAAAGAGCCACCCTGAGCGCTGTGATTATGCAAGGCAGAGAGCAGAGGGAAGCCTGGAGCCTGGCTCGCAGGTGCCTGAGCAAAGCCCTCACCACACCCCTCAGTCATTAGAGCGAGTCTCACGAAAACAAGAGAACCAGATGGGCAGCCTCGGAACTGTGCAATATTTAGGAGGGTTAAGCAAGGAGCCACCCAACAACTTAACTGGGTGCATTCTGTCCCCTTCAAGGGGCATTAAAAGGTGCCTTTTGAAGAGAGGTCATGAGTCCTTCCTCAGGAGGGTGTGTTCTAAGCTGCAGGTGCCATCGCCCTCACCCTGCCTCCAGCTAATGTTTCTCTGCATGCTTTACAAATTGACAACCAAACAGATACACATTTTTTGTCCTGACCCCCAGCTTAGGTCATTATGAGGCTCTCATGGGTTCCCATGCTGTCTTTTTACCTGTACGGTGGGCCCCTTCAGGACACGGACAGAGAAGGACTGCTTCTTTGTATAGTCTCAGCAACTAGAATGTTAGAACCTGTATGTAAAACAGCATCTGGTTCCAAGAGAATTAAATGCATTATAGTGATACTACTGCCTCCCTACCTTGGGTCCATGGCAGGCATTGCCTGTTGCTCACCACTGTACTGCCTAGCAGCTCTAAGGTAGTCTAATAATCCTTCTTAACAAAGCTTTCCAAGTAGCCTCCACCAATTCACAGAATGGTCATATGAAAGATCTTACAGGCCATTCCTGATTTAAGTCCAGAAGATGTGGAAACGTAAGATCCAAACAGGAACCAGATGAATAAGTTGCCCAGATGGACAACTGGACTTGGTAAAGCCAAGACCAGTTGGGCCTAACACCCAGGCTTCCTGACCTCCAGCCTAAGGCGTGCATCCTTCCAACTCTCACCTGAAGTAGATGTCTGAGAAGCATTTATTGACAACCATAATGTTGGTTTCCTACGCCTCTGGCGTCATCTACCCTCCACATTTCAAGATCTAAGAGAAAGGAGACTGGAAGAAATCATCAAAACCTCAAAAAGACAGGCCAAGATTAACTGTCAGGTAATAAGATTGGGGAATTTTTTTTCTTTCAAAAGCACAAGAAAGCCACATGGGATCAGTCCCTGTTCTTTACGCTCAGGCACCACCCTTGACTGGCACATGGAGTTTGCAGTTTTCTCTCCATGCTGCTCCATCAACATGCCCGAGATTAATCCTGAGCATGCCTGCAGCCTGCTCCCGCACTGTCGTTCAGGAACTCGCTAGACCCTTCCTGCATCCACTACTGTTCTCATTCCTGTCAGCTCTTAGAGTGAAGAGGACTTCGTATTCATACCAGGGGTAAAGCCCTTGGAGTTTTTGTCCTGAAATGACACATCTTTACACCTAAATGGCTTGTTCTGTAAATGATCCCACGGACATCCGGAGCATAAGGGGTTAGGAGGGACTCAGATGTGAGAGTCAGTCACACAGAATATAAATCAACTATTGTTTCCTGAGCATAAATCCTAGTGAGGACAGTGAACCTCAGGGGCTTGTTCACATCAGACACGTTCTCACAGAAGCAAGTCCAGAAAGGAAAGGTAACAAAGAGGCTGTCACCACCGCAGCAGGGACAGTCATTTCTAGATAGCAGGTCTTCCCATGTCTGCCCAGGGAAGACCGGGAAACCACAAAGGACCTTGGCAGGAGCCACACCTGAGGGAGTAGGCTCAGGTTCCACAGCCCGAGGCCTGTCTCACCTGTATGAATGGATGACACTGGAAGGAGTGGTAAAGGAGGCAGGACGACCCCTCTCCATGGATGGCAGCCTGTCACCGGCAAGTGACACCTTCACCTACCAGATCCTACAGTGAGGACCAGGAAGGGCTGAAAATGCACCTGGCAGGGGGTAAATGGATCCTAGGAAGGGGGTTGGGACAAATCTGAGAGCAGCATAGGGCAGTTACTAAGCTATCCCCCACCACGCATATTCACATCTGAACCCTTTGTGATGGAGGTAATTAAAAAGTGAAAGAACTGCTTTATGGAAACTCCAGTAGGTCCTGGAGCCCAGAAGCTCTGACGCATCCTTCCATCCTGGGCCCCAACAAGCACAGCACAGAGAAAGAAAGGCGTTGTCTCCTGTGTCATCGTGGACCACCAAGTAGCCTGGGCACCTCAAGGGTTCAAGTGCACCAAGAATAATAGCTCCAAGGGGAGCTGTGGGGCTGCAGAAGCAGTGGTGCCCGGTGGGTGTGGTGGCGTCACCTCCGGTGTGTTTGGAGGGAAAGGTCTAGCAGAGGAGAAAAGTACCGGGACAGGGTGTGGGTTGGTTAGAGAATTTGTGCGTACATAAGTGACACCCCCTTACACATACATAAAGCCCAACACTGCCCTGAAATAACTAGGGAGACAGATCAGGGGCCACTATAGGAACATGGGAGCATGCCCCATGTCAGCGAGGGAAAAGTGAGACTGGTAGGCTCATGCGTGCATTGCTGGTGTAAAAATCAGCTCACATGCACTTGGAAAGCTATATCTGGCAATTTGCACCAAGGGTCATAAATATATTCATTCTTGCTTCTGGAGATATAACCTAAGGAAAGTATCCAAAATAAGGAAAAAGCTTCTAGGCATAAAGACGTAGCATCATAACTTAAACTGAAGGCAACATAAATATCCAATGGGGAATGTTGAATTCAATCACACATGTCCATCCTAATGGAGCATCATGACATCTGAAAGGATAAAACCTAAGACTTTCTAGCAACATGGAAAAACACATGACTCTAAACCTTGAGTTTAAAAAGCAGGAGTCAAAATAGCTTTCTCACCATGACTAATTTAATAGAAATATTAGTGCACATGGACAGAGGCCGAAAACAATGTGCAGACGTGAACAGGGATACTTCGGTAGGGCTCTGACCATGAGCGGTTTGCCTCCTACGTTTCCCAAATGTTTCAAATGTCAAAAGACAAACCAGAAAATACCTACACAAAGATCACTGGGCAGAGGCAGACAAAAGGTTTCAGGAATTTGGGCTCTTGTTTAGATGGATTATTAGATGAGCTAGTTTCGAGTTCTTGGGTTGTTGTGCAGACTCTGCTTTCTAGCACCCTTGCCCACACCAAGGGTCTGAACAGAGAGCGGGGAGGGGGCTGGTCCTGAGTGAGCAGGGAGGACATGGCGGGGGAATAGCTCCCTCTGGCCTGCAGTTGAGACCTCCCAGGAGCACGATCTTGGCCCCTGGGATGCAGGGCAGAGATGGCTCAGGGGACAGCTGGGCATAAGCTCAGCAGGTAGGAGCACCAGAGGGAAGTTTAGAGCCCCGGGTCCACAAACCAGTCAAGGTCTGCCCCCTGCCCACCCCCACGTGCCATCTCACACCAAGGGGATGAGGGGATGAGACTCACCACTCAAGGCAGACGTGGTGTTCTCCAGGGCCTGACACACAGCCAACAAAACACCTGTGGGGGGAAAAGAAGAGTCAGTTCGGTAGCACCCAACCTTCAGGATTTGAGGGCAGGGCTGGGGAAAGGCAAAGACTGGGCAGTTTTACAAGGTGGCCAATAGGCAGTCTTGGCTACATAATTTGGGGGGCTTAATGCAAAATGAAAATGCAGGGCCCCTTGTTCATAGAGCAGGAAAACAGTGCCTTTAATGGTACTAAATAGAAAGCTTTTTCCTTTCTTCCAGGTCTCTCTCTCCACCTGCCGTGATGTTTCTTGTTTTTGTTTCTAAATATGGTACAAATATTTTTATTGGGGTCAACGATATATAGAACGTACTGTGTTGACCATTGTCAGTGTCGAGTTCGGTGGCACTAAGCACATTCACATCACTGTGCACATCATGGGTTGTGCTTACTCTTTATGCCGCTTCTGTCTTTGCAGCATGAGCATCACTGCAAGGTGAACAGAGCCCCTCGCGGCACAGGAGGCACCAGCAATAAAGCCTGCAGGTGCACCTGGAACCCCTGACTGCTGTTCCCCTCTGGCCAGGAGCTGGGTGGCTACGCCGTCACCCAGCTGGAGGCAGGGAAGTCTAGTCAGGTATTTCTTCTTCCCAGGGCCCAGGAACCCCACCAGGGGCCAACTGTGGACCCCCGAGGATATCACAACCTCTGCACCAGGATGTACTAGGTACCTGATCAGGGCAGGGGAGAGGCTCGTGCTTATCTATAGCAACACACTGAACATGCTGCAGCACTGTCATCCCAGCACAGGGACCAAAACTGTCCCAAAAGGCTGTGGGGTGCCAGCACCTAACCTCTGCCTTTCTGTGTGTCCAGGTCCTACTCAGGGGAGGCAGCAGGTGGTGACAGTGGGTGGGATCACATGCTCCTGTGCACACTGCACTGTCCCACTGCACGCCACTAATGAGATACAAATTTAAATACAAAACTATTAAGAATGTCAAGACTGCCACCACAGCATTAATGCCATGCTTAGGGCCCATCAGAGTGTAAGACTCTGTGGCTACACAAGTCACACACCCGTGAAGCTGCCCCTGCCAATGGATGACCTTGTGTGCCCTGACATTACAGTAGTGGAGGTTTCTGGAAACAATGAAGTAAATTTCCAATGAAAAAGGAACATCTTGTGAGTTATGCAATCAGCATGAACTAAGTTACAATGACTTCCTAAAACTGAAATGCAAAGGATGCCGTGGTGGCCATGCAGAGTCTGGACCACTGAAGGGTTAGCCCAGAAGGCAGATGAATCGAGTCATACAAACAAGAAGCACGTTCTTTGCTGTGACCCCCTCCACTGCATAGGACCGGGGTAAACCCCACTGGCCAGACAGGTTGAGAGGGCCCCTTTCCCCTCCACTCAGGGTGTAGAAAAGGAGCCCTTAACTCTCAGTGGAGAAACATTTAGAACAGAGAAAGCAATCATGCTCCAACTTTTCTCTAGGCTCTGAAATGACAAACATCACAAAAACTTTCGACCACATTTGCAGGAGTCTTGGCATGGATTTCCCAAAGGCTCCTACAGACTCCTGGACAGGATATTTGGGGTGGAACAGGGTGTTGGGGACACAAGGAGAAAATCAGTAAAAGCACCACATCTTCCCTGTGCAATTCCTCTTACTGCTCCGTAGACACTGAGTTTGGAAGCTTGGCTCTTAGGGCTCCTTTGGACATACGTAAAAGGTTGAGTTTGTGATCTGCACACTGAGCATTAAAATGAGGCTTTCCTGCCTAAGGCAGAAGTCTTAGTGGTTCCACACAGCCAGATGGGGACCTGTCACACTGACTTTGCTGGCACTGCCACAAACCACTCAGGGCCAAAGTCAGCCAGTAACATGTAGTAACATAACAACATGGGGATGCTTTGCATACCTCTCTGCAAGAAGAGCCACTGGCTGGTCCCAAACCATCCCCGAGTGAATAAAAGATCCTGCCACTTCCCTCCCTGTCTGCCTATCCCCTAAGTGGGGGAAAGCACAGTTTCTGAGCTCCATGAAGACCTCTGCTGGAGCTAAACTGAGACAAGAAAGCACATCTTGTGCAACTGCTGCCAGGTTGGAGCAGAGACAGCCACTGACTCTTCAGGGCAGGTGGATGGCCGCTCCCTCTGCTCCTCCTGTGTGAGCTGTGGTAAAGGTGTTTTGGCAACTAATCAGAGTCTGCAAAAGCACTGTGTTCCACAGATAAAAAACACTGGGTTTTTATTCATAATCTGAGAAACATGACAAGAATTCCTTTCCATACCCTGTCACGCCCATGGAGACAACTTCTTAAAGCTCTGGGCTTCTCCCTACTGCTTGGATTCAGGCACGACTACAGCTGGGGCTCTGTGACCCGCGGTGAGGCCTCTGCCTTCCCTCCACTCTGTGGTGTGCTCCCTAAGAGGGTCCCAGGCCAGAAAACTAGGGCTCACTTCTTTGACTTCTCAGGTGTCTGGGTACCACTTAATGGGCTAGTACTAGTTCCTGGCCCACCACTTTCACGTGTGTTGTCTTATGGGGTCCTCAGAATAACCCATGATATAGCCACCCTCACCCCAGCCTACAGCCTTCTGGTCTAGCCTGTGGAAACACATGATTTTACAGATGAGGAAACTGAGGCTTAGAGAGGTTAAGAAATGTGCCCAAGCTCCTACAGCCAAATTCAAACCCCAGTCTGTCCAACTCCTACTACCACACTACACAACAGTCCTTCTGACCACAGCCTGTCACAAATGAGTCCAAACAACAAATACAGGGGGTCTAGCAGCCAAACTCCATCCCTCTCTTCCGGAGGCTGCACCCATCGCCTTGTGGGTATTTCCACTGCCTCTGATTCCCCCCACTATGAGCAATGTCTCCTGAGAGGCAAGGGTGTGAGCGCCCAGACCCCTGACTGCCACTCTACATAAGCCCAGGTGTCCAGACTGCTGGCCCCCCTGGCTGTACTCGGAAAGTGGGCTCTGTGAAGGCCTTCCAGACACATGGGGCCTCGGCAGGCCCCGAGGCTCATCAGAAACACAGAAAATCCTTCCCTGGAGCACCTGTGTGGGGACAGCACAGCCCTGGGACAGCTGCCACACCCAGTGACTCCAGGGAGACAACACACAGTTCAGATGGAGGCTTGTGGCCTGAAGCCACAGGCTCCTCTTGCCTGTTTCAAAGCCGGACCTTGCCTGCCACGGGCCACCCAGACAGCCTCCTTCTGGGGCAGGAATCCCTTTCAAGTGGCTCCTGCTAACACCTCTTTTTTGTTTAGAAAGTTCCAAAGAGGGGAATCCCTGGATTACAGACTTCGGGGTGGGGGGTGGGAGTGGGGGGGGGGTGAGGGGAAGGCCACATACCAGGGAGGGGAAACATTATGAAAGGCTGATCGTCCCATCCCAAGTGGAGTGGGAACCCAGCCTGCCCTCAAGGAAGGACAAAGGTGGCGGTGCTTATAATTCAGGTGTTAGAGAGGCAATAAAAATTTTCTGCAAAGAGAATGTTAAAGAGGGGCTAGGTTATTAATCTCCTAAGTACACATCACAGAGCCATGGTGAAATCCATTTGCAGGTGTGTCAGTGGGAGATGCTGTTGAGAGGTGCTGGGCCCCCGTGCCCTGGACCGCAGAGCAGGGAGCCCACTCCCAGCTCATGCCCCTCCATGCAGCAGCTCACTCATGCACGGGATTGGGATCTGGGCTGTGCCTTCAGCACGGGACGCCCTCCATCCTCTCTCACTCATCAGCCCGGTGGCTGTCTCCTCTGTGGACACTCAGCCCCGGTGCCCAGTCACCCCAGCAGAGTGGCCCATGCCTGGCTCTGGCCTCTGTCACAGCCAGTGTTTGCTTCCCGGCTCTTACCTATGCCACTGTGTTATCAGCTGACCCCCGAGAAAGTCAAGGGCTCCACATCTCATCTGTTTGGGAGCCCCAAGGCAGGCCTTCTACCTACAGGGTGAGGGTAAGGTTTGGTGTCACGCAGATGTGGGGAGAATGGAGAGAGGCTGCAGCAGGTCCTTTTGGATGAAGGATGGCCTGGATGTAGAGGAGGTGGTGAGGAAAGGCATATGGGCAAAGGACTAATGCAGGAGTCAGGCAAGAGAGAGGGGTGTGGGTGTTTGGAGGGCAGCTGGGATTGCCCCTTCCTTTCTACATGCTTTGGGGTCATGGGGGACAGAGCCAGGAGCTCAGGAAGTGGTGGGTGGTCCCTAGAAGATGACAACCCTGCAGCTCAGCAGGAGGCCCACAGGGGACACCCGTGGAGCAGCCACATGGGCGCAAATATGTGTAAATGGGTCACATGGAACCCGCTGGTCACAGGTTCTAAGGCCTCTTCCCTTATGATTACACTCCAACATTAAATTTCATTTGCAAACATGGCAGGGTTTTAACTGTATAGCAGAAAATGCAACGTTACATGACTATCAGTATTTTTATTTTTTTGGTTTAATCTTTATTATATATTTTTTCCATTACCATTTAGACTCCTTATACCCTCTTCCCCCCAAAAAATCAGTATTTTAAATGCAAGAGGTTTTGGTAGCTAGGAAGGATGCTGGTTGCAGAGCAAGATCTAATTAGGAAGAAAGAAAAAGGTAACACACTTCAGGTAGGGGGATGGGGAGGCTGGGAGGACCAGGGGACCACGAGCCTGGCCGTGACAAAACCCATAAATGCTGTGGCCAAAAGCAGCCACGGCCTTCGCCACTGCACTAGTGTAGGGAGGCCAGCCCTCAGAGAGGTCATGGTGTCTCCTGAAGGGGAAGGTGACAGTTCACTTTGCTCCTGCTCACAGACTCCAGTGACACTCATTTCAGAGGATGTCAGGCGAAGCGGCAGAGAAACTGGCCTGAGGAACTGGCCAGACGGGATTAGGAAAACTCTGGGGATGGCAAGGAGTTTAGGAACATGTGACCCAGGAATGAGTCACCTTGAGCAGATGGGCTCATTGGACAGAGGGCTCTTTCTTTCACCATCCCGGCATCTGGAACACTGCTTTCAAAACACAGGTCGACCCTGCTACCCAAGGAGTCT